TTCTCAACCACTGTCGCTCTGCCTTCCTTTCTACCTCTCGATTTCTCTGTAAAGAGAATCCTTGAACACAGAAGTAAATGGAACGCAAATAAATAGGTATTACGAAAATGGCTCGACTTCGTCATTTTCAAGTGCTTCAAGAACGGAAAGCATTTAATCTGCGCGGAAATTCAGCCAATGAGAAAATCACTTCATTTCTAGTTATTTGGAGCATTTCATGGTCCTTTATACAATTTTTTCTTTATAATTCTTTGCCTTAGGTAAGCTCCAGGTATGCCAACTATTTGAGCCATTGACTTCAGCGAATTTTATGATCACAATATCGTAAAATAATTTCGAAAGCAGCGAAAAACTTTCCTTTATCCACTTTGAAATTGGTGTCACTTTATTTAACTGAAATGATTATTATCATACTGTTGAGCATCCTCCACGCAGTAATACTGCATCGAAAATGGACTACTATCCCGAAAAGTGAACAATGCAGAATTACCTATAAATTAGTTTAAAGACACCTCTGTGTGAGCGGTGAATAGTTAACATTTCGAAGTAACATGCATAAAATTCATTTTATTAATTTTGAAGTTTGACTCTTAGTTTCACGCACTTCATGCGCTCAAAATCGCATTGATCCCCGTTGTTAACTTACCAACTCTGACATTAATCTCTTGGCTTAGTTTTTTATCCCCCGTCAAAATCTCGTTTATGAGATCACCATAGTTTTAATCAATTTTATCACAAAAACAGCAGTAACTTTTGTCTAAACGAGCGTGTAAGGATTTAGGCTATTTAGAAGTTTTTGAGTGAACCATTTTCATAGGCTCGTCCCGTAAAACATTGAGGACATGTTACAAACTATTCGATAAGAGCAAATAATGGAATGAATTTGAAAATCGCTTCAGTTTCCGTGCAGTGCAGGACAATAACGGCAGAGCCTCGTTTAGATTTATCGCATTCAAAGTAAAACTTTTCGTCAAGTTTTACCGTTCTCTCTTCCACTCAGAACAATAGAGAGAGAGAGAAGATGGATGTGGTACGCACAACGAAAATGACGGCGGCCAGAAAATAGCGAAAAAGGAAAAATAAAATTATTTATGGCCAGAGGGTGAAAAAAGAAACTAGGATGTAATATAAATTAGGTGATTTATTTCGTGTGGCAAAAGTTCTTGTGCAATTCTTTTCGGCGAACGGCCAAAATGTGGCGTTCAATTTGACCCGGTGATTTGCAATCGTTGCGCCGATGACGCAAACCATTTTCATCTTATACTTGTTTGAGCTGGCAAAAGTCGTGCGTTTACTGCTAAACAGAGCAGGGCGGGAGGGAGATAGAAGGCAAGTGAAAGAGCAATTTGAGTGAAAGGAAGCAATACACAAAAATTCGATTGGCCTTCGGCTTGGTTGCTGCTTTCAAACAGCAGCAAATTATTCTCAGGAGTAGTTTTAGCTCGAGCCAAAAAGCACAACGAAACACCTCTTCAAATAAATCGAATGTCTAGTCGTGAAAATGAGACGACGATACGAATGTATAGGATTCATCAATTCGTCAATCTATATATATATCGATTGAAAATCCGGTGTGTATGTTCAAACCTTGTTCGCTATACTATGGTTACAAATCACATGGAAACATAATGCCGATTTTCAACGAAAATCGAAATACAACCGACCAGAATGAAGCACAAGCAAAACGAAAATCTAACCGGAGTAGCAACAACAAAAACGCAACGCTATAATATAGATGTTGCGTAGAGAAGGGAAGGTTTAGCAAATAAATCGCAATGCGAAAAAGAAGAAGATGAAAAAAGGAATTTCAAAACGAACGACGTAAGAAAAATGGCCAAATAGAAGATAAATAACCGAAACGGAAGAATTATCGCGTGGAAATGGCTGCATCGATTGATGAAAATGATGAAATCGGATATGCGGCAGAAAGCAAAAGAAAAAAAATAATACATAGAACTGAAACGAACCGAACCGAGCAGCGACGAGTTAAATAATGGCACTTTGATCCAAGCGACAAAGACCGATTGCATCGAGATTGTATCGTGAGATTTTACTTCGTACATTGCAGCAAATCGTACACACAGCGCTCGATTTAACAATCAGTGAAATGGCATTTGAAATCCGCACGTCAGCGTCACTAGCACTCGAGTTGTATGCTTTTTGTATTGATTTGCCCCCCAATAGAACTCTCCGTTCGCATTCGTTTTGCGAAGCGGATCGTTTTTTTCTGCATTAGATGAACCAGTTTTCGCTTGACGATGACTGAAACAGAAGTTACATGTTTATGCAAATGGATTTCGTTGCAAATTTGTATGTTCCGATGTGAACTGTGGGCTTGTGGGCTCAATTTTTTTTTCCAGAACTAATCTCATAAAAACCTGACACAAGCCTATCTATGGTTTACGGTGAATGTGAGCGAATAAATGGCCGATAAAATATGAGAAGTCGTTTTGTTCATTTCCAAATGCCGAGTCTTTTTGTTTTTTCTTTTTTTTCGCCACTAGAATATATATAAATTCAAGAAGCTAACTAACAAAGGCACAATAGCACGAATTTGCATCGAATTGAAGACGTTCGACGTTGAAACACAAACACACAAACGAAATCGAATTAATGACCCGGAGAAAAGGAAATGGATAAAAACAACTAAATACATTTACTTTTACGCGGCTTTTTTCACTTTTGCCAATTGTTTTTCGCTTCTCGGTTTTTAACACAATGAATATCACTGCTCGTAAACTGTAGGCCGAATGAATGAAAACAACAACAACTGAAGTTACTCCTTTTTTTATTGTTATTGTATTAATATTCTCTCAATTTCTAATTTGCATATTTACACTTATTCTGACGGGCAATCTCTTTCTTTTTTCTTTGCAGATCCATTTGGTTGTAGCTGATTCCATGCTGAATTGTTGTCGTCGTCACCACCGTTGTTGCTGTTGATGCTCTTTAGTACACAGCCAATGTAAAATGTGTTACACAAACAAAAATGCACTGAAGCACCTACCAATTCGAATGTACGCGAGTAAAGAGCGATAGAAAGAGAGAACGAGAGAGATAGACACGGACAGAGCGAATAAAAACAAAGCTCATAAAAGATAGAGTCAATAAAAAGTTGATAGAATAAAGGATATTTTGTAGAAAAGCTTCAAACTGCTTCGGTTTGCTAACAGCACCAAGCATCGGTTCGGATATAGAAATATGCAAAGCATAGACGCATAGGACGACCGTGCGACGAACGTATCAACGGGCGATCGTGCATTGCGAGACGTGTGTGTATGAATACAGTATACAGCAAACAACGATGGCTCCGGTGATACGTTCGTCGCACAGTCGTCCGTATGCGTCTATGCTTTGCATATTTATACAGTATAGAACATCTAGGTAAACATATTTCTATGTCCGAACCGGTGCTTGAACAGCACTGACAAAAACAATGCGATTTTTCCCTCGATATCTCTCTTTATCTATTTCTCTCACTTCGTTGGATCCACTTTCAACAACAACGAAAAAAAAATACACGAAAAAAAATCGACTGAAGAAATGCAAATATTTTGTATGCAACATAAAAGGGACCGAAGCGAACGAAACAACTATTTTTAAATCATCATGCACCGTCTTTTAGACGCTCCAAAAGTTTTAACAATAGATTCAGACCAGAGTCATCAACAACGAAAGGAGAAGAAGAAGAAAAAGGCATTACACAGTGTGCACTTAACACACTGCTACCAGTGCTGGCCACCACTAGTCTAGCTACAACTGCCGTTTCAAAAATATTAACGGAAAAAGACAGTGAAAGAAAAACGAACAGCGAAAACGAGAGAGAGAGAGAGAGAGAGAAAAAAGAAAATAGAGCGTGGAAAACAAGAAAAGGAAATGAAATTAGCTTGCCATGCAAAAATCGGTACAGGAAGCAAGTAGCGGAGCAAAACGAATGGAAAACAGTGTTTAGTATTCAGCAATGACGATAAATAAATAGAGTAAATTGAAGCAAATACGAGAGCGAGCAAGAAAGAGAAAAAATTGAAAAAAAAGAACACAAAAAACGCACTCAATAGACAAACGAATCGGGTAGAGACATCGGAGGGAAAAGAAAAGAATGAACGTTAAACGAGTTTAAAGCAAATGGCGCGTGATATAAAATATGCATAAGATTTTTTCTTCTTTGTGTCTTCATTCACCATCTCCAACACAACGATGACGATTGTTTTGCCTTTCACCGCCTGATACAGTGGGCACAAATTGGAGCATAATACACATGCAATTTGCACATGGAAAAGCTCAAGAAAAGCGATAAATTTTTTTTCGCGTTTTCCTCCATTTTCTTTACATTTTGCCCATTTCGGTTCAATATTTCACCGAGCCAGAGGTAGAAGAAATTTTTTCATCGCAGCGAGTAGATCATTCGCAGACGTGCATTAAAAAGTCACTGACTCTCTCTTTCTCTTCGGCAACATTTTGCGATAAGGTGCACAGCGACAAGATAAAAAACACATCGGTGAACGACTCCTCACGTGCAACACAATGGACAAACATAAAATACAAAAATGTCCAGTACATTTTCAATGTGTTGCTCAGCAACGTTTACACCTCTTAACAGCAATATCTTGCGGATGGTGGTAAAAGCCAAATGGCCTTTACTGCCGCTCTTACTTCATCTAGAACAAAGAAGCTGTTTTTATTTTTTCTGCTTTGTTTTCATTAATAGTTTGCTCACATTTGCTACATTCTTCGCTGTTAACCGTAAATCGTGCGATTTTTTTTTAGCTCAGCAATCCTTGTGTATTTTTCTCCATTCGTGTTTTTTCCTCCTCGCTTTAGATGAATTGAGATCACGGCAAACTTCATCGAACGATTCAGTAAAGTTCATATCGCACAAGCGGCACTAAACAAACTTGCGAGAAAAAGTTTTTTCTTTGTTAGCCTTAACAACTATTAAATCTCTGTGCATTTCATTACTTAATGTTCCGCTGTATGTGTTTTTTCTTTCTCCATTGCAGTTTTTTGTGTGCGTTGAATTGATGTTGTGTCTAAGAAAAATGAATTGGTGAAACGCGCGTGAGGATAATCAGCCAAGGGAAGAAAGAGTCGCCTTTCGAAAAGGAATACACTCTTTAGATCTTCCAACCAAAATACGGAATCCGTGCGAATTATCTAGGAATTTATAATATTTTCATCGTGGTGCCAGTGTACGAGTGAGCCGATCTCACCCAGACAACGCCAATATGATATCATTAAATGGATCAAGATGCTATCGGAAAAGCGTTTTGCTCATCGTTTGTCTATTCGTAGCCGGCGCAAGCAGCATATGGCAGGAGAATGTTCGGCCGAAACTTTATGTCGAATTAGGTGAGTACATACCATAAACTTATTCCCTTACACACTCGACGCTTTATCTCGAAGCGGTGTGTGTTTTTCTAGATAGCTTTAGCAGACTCAGAGTGAATTTCTCACGACCATGTCGCCCATTTTCGGTGGCACTTCGTTTTTCATGGAACAATTTTTTCTATATAGCCGAAGAAGGGGAGTGTGAGGTTTGCTTGTATCGCCATACCATCATTGACATTTCGTTCAAGTGGAAAAATAACAGAAATCGAGTAATTTCCTCTTTTTTCGCTTACGGCTTACCTTCGATACGGTGGTTGGACGCAGGAACAAAAAAAAATCTACCATAGAAAATCGATAAAAACGCACCATAATGACATTTCGGCAGAAATAACAAGTTTCGTGCTTTTCGAAACTGCTGCTGTGGCTGCCTTGGCTCACATCGTCGATGCTGGCAGTGAATCGTGAATTGGAAAATGTTTTCATTTCAATCGAACGTTTTTATTACAACCACATCATTGCATTTACGAGCGACGGTTCTTTTTTTTCATGATGTTTACATGCACGCTTCCTTTGCCACAATCATTGAGTCATTTTATCATTTCGGCTCTTTCAATTTAATGGCACAAGATTTTGCACCGAGCACAACAGAGAGATACGTTAGCCAAGAGAGCAAACAACTCTCTCTCTCTCTCTCTTTCAGCACTGAAGAGGTTGGAGCACTTTTTTCGCCCTTCTCTGGGGCGCTGCGCATAATGTGTCTCTTTGCGACAAAACAGCCGTAGTTTTGTGCTTGTAACATTCTTGAGTGTTTTGGTGCTCTAGACTTTCGCATTTTAATGCGCACAACACTATACGGTTTGTTATTCCATCGCTTGTTTTGTTTCAGCAGGTATATTTTTTTGTGCTGTCTCTTACAAGCGCATTCTTTTCATTTTCTTTGAACTGGAAGACAAAAATATAAAAAGCTTCTGCTTTGTTTTTGCTCTGAAGAATGTGAGCTGAGAGAGAGGACGAGAGGAAGCAAGTGAAAAAAAAAGTTGTGTCGCTTTTTTCATATTTTGAATGGTGTCTTCTGTTGTTACAAAATGCCGTTCAAGTTTCGATTGTTTTTTTTTTTACGCTTTTGCATTATCATCTGCTGTTGGTTTCTATTTTTATGCTTACCTTCGCTTGTAGTGTGTGCGTCCTGTTTGGTGAGAAATCAAGCAAATGTGTGTGCTGCTTTTTGTCCCAGCATCTCCCAACGCCTGTCATTGCAAAATTTATGGTAATTTTGTTTGATGCTTTTATTGAATTTGTTTGAAAAATTCTATCCATGCTTTTATTTGAACTTGTTCTCGTCTTCCTGTTCCTTGCCTGACTTTTCGCTGCTTTTGTTTTATTGGGGCTTCAACGTTCGTTTGTTCATCCTTCGCTTGTAGATTCTGTGTGATGGCAAAAGCCGTTCGTAATTCGAATGGCATACAGACATAAATATATCGACGACGAAGACCCGATTTTCTTCTTCTCTTTTTTCTCACTCTTTTCGGTATGCTCGTGCTCGCTCTATTTATTTTCCATCAGTTCGTAAATTCGTCTATATCCGAGCGTATCGCCTGAACGCCACACACCACACACACATACTCACTCACCTTTCCGCATAAAATATAAATAATAAGGAAATCAGATTTCTTTTTACCTCGGATCGAAAGAAAGCTCTGTTCTTTTACTGTGGCGGCTCGATTTTTTTTGCTTTTTTACTCTGCCGATTTAAACGAATTTACAATCGTTTGATTTCCTTCAAAAGTTCCTCATGACCATCTCCCATAATGTGCGCGCCGCACAGAGACAAACCATAGACACACAGAGACGGAACGGTGAGCACACGGCGAAAGGGATAAGAAATGGCTTTCGTAAAGGTGAACACAGACATATATCGTCTTCAGCGACTAGCAAAAAAAAAACCTAAATGTCTTTCTTTATACTTGTGTTACTCCATCCGTCTCGTTTCGTCCCTTCTCCGTGTGCTTTTTTCTCTTTCAAGCGCACAGAACACGTTAAAGGTAAAAGTTTTGCGACGCAATGATTAATGCAGATGTTGTGTAATTTATTTATGAAAAAAGAATGGATCGAGCATAAAACTATTTCGCATTTTCTTCATTTTGTGGACGGCAACGACGAAGCTGCCGTCGTTGGTGCTGCTGCTGCATACAAGCGAGCAGCCGCTTTGTCATCGACATTCTATCTTTCTATATTTGTTTGTTTGATCGATGTCGTTGCTGGTGCAGCTTTTTTCATTCTGTCTCTCTCTCTCGCTCGCTCCTCCTTTCTGCCAAGCTCAACTGTGAATTGAAAAGTTAAATGGAATACGGATTTATTGTGTGCTACTTCCACAAAACGGATATTGTATCACAACACGATAAGGCCACGATATTGAATGAAACGCTCGAATAATGATATGAAATAAGTTTCGTTGGATGAACAAAGCAAATGCGAAGAAGAAGAAAAAAAATATATGAAGGAGAACGAACGAATGAAAGAAACGAGTGGAATGAAGTTGAAAGAATTTCTCATTTATTTTGAAAGATTACTTCAGTAAGCAGAAATGTTGTCTTGTATTCAGCAGAGTGTGTGTCTCTGTGTCTGTTTTTTTCGTCATCTGCATCGAAAATGTTTGAAAACTGAACTCATTTCATCACAATAAAAATTGAAGGGAAGAAAAAAATCAGCGGCACCAACAACAACAACAACAACGATCAAATAAAGATGTAATTTAGAAAGTTTTCCATCATAATGTGACTTATCTAGAATTGTTGGTACGTGCGGAATATTTACAATATTCCATTTCGTCAATGATTCAATTTCTCATTCGATTTTGTTTGTGTGTATTTGAGTTTATGCCGCGGCATTCAATCATAAAAACATTTCATTCTGCGTCATTTCTGGTGCCGTGTGTCGCAATCACACATAAATTTTCAATTGCAATTTTATTATTGACATCTAATTCACGCTACTTCTATTCCAAAATCATAAATCATTCAACGTTTAAACACTCTCCGTTTTTTCCCTTCTAATGAAAACACCAACACACGGCATTAAAATCGATACTTTTTTAAAACAACCGACACACAAACCGAACCAAACCGAAATCCAATCAATTCGCTCAATCAAATTGGTTTCATGAAATTCCATTTCATCTGCGTTCATGCGATCAAATGGGCTCAGTTTATTTTTTTTCCCCGCTTTCTCATATTCCGAATGTCAAGAGCAGCGATGAAGCCATGGGAAAAAATGTCCGATAATAAAGTTAACTACAGAGAATTTAACATCGAAATGTTGTTGTGCTTGTTTTAAAAAATGAGCGCATATTCATGAAATAATAACAAACAATTAATTTGAACCATTGGATTTTACTGCCGTTGCACACGGACACCAATACCAAAAGCACGATGCTTGCTTTCTCCTCGATAAGCCAAAATGCTGAAACAGGAAAAGTGCTTATTGAAGCGCTCGTTATCCTCATGCAAATAATGTCCTCTCGTTCGATTCGGTCGGTTGGCTGGCTGCTTGATTGCTACTGCTTCTCGGCAATATAAGCGCTCAGCTAGTTTGTTCTGTGTCGAACATTTACGTTGTACATATACCCCATTAAATATGTACATTTAATACGTTTGATTAATGTACAAAAATTTATCAACGAAGAAAAGAGACGGGCACAACAACCCTAAAAGATATAGCGGAGTACAACTACCACCACCACCGCGATTGCCGACATTCATGACAACATTCCACACGTGCGTATTTAAGTATTCATTTTACAAACACACTGTGTGTGTGTGAAATTATTTATGAAGCAAAGCGGAGCAGAGCTCTGTACAAACGAAGAAAGCAAAAACCGAGGAAAAAAATGACGCATGCATTCGTAAATTATAAACGTCACGCAAGCTCCATTTTCATCGACAGCGTAATGCCTATTTATTAATCCAACAAACGCTGACCAGCCGAATAAAATGTGTTGTATATGCGAAGCTCGCTACAAATGAACCATTATAATACACGAATGGCTTCGTTCAGGCGCACCACTTACGATACAAAAACATACACAGATACACAAGCATTGGCATAAATCCGGTCGAATGGAAAGGCAACCATTCACATACTGGACACATTTACTTTGGCCAGAAGAAACGCCAAATTATGTTCGCTACTGCTGCCGCCGCCGCCGTCACCACTGTTGTTATATTACAAGTAAGCGGATGAAAATGCCGAATTATTTATATTTGTGCACGGTGAACTCAGAAAGCGGATGAGGAAATATTTTCGGGTGAAAGGCCATAATTTTAAGGAGGGTTCCGTTCATTAATTTCAAACTGTCATACGTGTAATTATCTATCTATGGCCAACTGGGAGATATCAAGTGCTATCATAGCGCAAATAATGACCTTTTTGGTCAAATCGGATCTCTTCTCTGTATGTGGCTTTTGATCCGTAACATTTTTCCGGAAAAATCGAACGCAAATTGCCCAGCAAAAGTGGTACCATGAAAACCGCATTATCTCTATCCACAATTCAATGTGGAGACTTTTAACCAGCAAAAAAAATCGAACAACATACAATTCACCCAAAGCGCACCATATCGATCAATTGCTACAGAGTGAAATATTCATCCATCCGATAATGTGCTTATGCGGCTGTAACCATAATCCTAAACGAATGAAATTTTAATTCTTTTGTGTATCGATATATACGCAAATATCGTATAAATTCCATGGACTTCAAAAACCATTTATCAAACCAGACGAATTCAGCTGAATATTTTATCGGTATGATGATCCCCTCAGTCCCTCTCTACTGAAGTGAATTTCACTTTTTACTTCAACCCCATGAACCGGCTGGGAAAATATTTGATCGATTCGAAAAGATTTTTTTTTCGTTCGTTCGAAAGAGAAAAATGTTAAGTGAAAATTCATTCACGATTTTATTGAAAAGAAACAGTAAAAAAATGAAGTCTGATTTCCACGAAAGAATGAGATTGAAAAAAA